CGAGGGTCATGAATGGTAATTATTTCCATAATCGTTGTAAATGATGAGAAAATCAACTATAATGAAGGTTCGGCTCAGAGAGATTAAATAGATAAGTTGTTGAGTTTTGTGGTAGATTTTAGTTCCACGAGAAAATCAACTATAATGAAGGTTCGGCTCAGAGAGATTAAATAGATAAGTTGTTGAGTTTTGTGGTAAATTTTAATTCCTTTTAATAGATTCTCAAGCCCACTACCGAGCGTCATGAATGGTAATTATTTTCTTAATCGTAATCGTTGTAATTTCTATTAACAAGGCCGTAAGAGAAGAATTATTCCTAACCCTTCTATTGTCTTTCAAGTCTCCTTGCTATGGAACTAGAGTATTAAAGAGGATTTCATTGCTCCCTCTTCTCTCGAATAAGAGAACAACTATGTATGTAAAGTAGCTAATTAAACATACATGTAAATCATTAACAACAACTCTTTAATAAACTAAAATCATACCGTCAACATACTTAAACTATATAAAACTCTCTCCCTACAAACTGAATTAAACAAAGGAATTCGCATCTTCATCATGTAAAATTGATGGAATAAGGAAAGAGAATAAGGAAATAGAGAGTTATCCCAGTTTGTTGTCGTTTGTCAATGGAAGTTCCCTTCTCTTGAGCTCTCACGTCCACCTCTTTGCCCTAATCAATCCTTGTTGGTCTCCTTTTTCTTCTCTGCGGTCAACAGCTGCTGGATTAGGATTTTCTTCTTTTTCTCTAGTTTCACACTAATTCACTAGCAGAGGCTGCTGCTGTTGTGTAATTCGACTTTTCTCCCCAAAATGTGGCTCCCTTCCTCCTAGTCTTCCTTTTCCTTTTATATTGAGCATGGGTTCCCCTTTAGGGTTTTTGAACAAGTAGTCAACATAGAATGTTCCTCATTGGGTAGTCAATGACCCACTTGGGCTGCTGACGTGGATTTAAAATTTCCATGTCATCCACCATTTGTTTCCAAATTTACTCCTCCCACATGTTTTAGCTTAAATGTCTGAAATTTTATTATATGACTCAATTAAATATACAATTAAGATCGATTTATGCCAAATCATATTTTTTTTTCATGTTGGACAGCAATAAACAATTTCATGCTCACTAAGTAGAATAAATATGGTAATAAAAGAGTAAATGGTGAATAAGAGTGCAATATTAACTGCAAAAGACTTGATAGGACTCTACTTTTAGAGAATTATCATTTCTCAATCCTAATCGTGTACATTAAGACAAAGAAGGCAGAGAGATTCATCATAGACTTGGATGAAGGTGTTTGCCTCGACCTAGGCTTACTCGATAAAGCTATTTATCGAGATTTTTTCAACTCGACCAAAGTGACTTATTTCTAGCCTCAATGGCTTAAGCCTCGACCTTGACTCCAAGTTCATCCCTTTGTCATGGCTTTCTAATACTACATGGGTAACAAATTTTGATTTGTTAACTTACTTGATTCGGTTTGGTGTTTCTCGTATTTTAATTTTTCATTCACTCATTCCCATTAAGGTTTAGCTTCTCCTTTAGTCTCAAGTTAATGTTTTATATAACGACCCTAAATTTCTACATACTCAGAGTCGCTACTAACGTCTCATATTTATCTCTTAAATGCGGAATATTACTCTTACATATTCATCATAAATAACAAAAAATTTAAAACACATTCAGAACACATTATTGTCAGTCTTACGTGTTTCAAAACATAACGCTGAGATTTAAAATTAAAACAAAAACAATTACAAATGAAATAATTTAAATAATGAAATGTAAACGTCCTATACTGACCTAAGACTAAGAATTTAAACATGTAACTACCCTATGCACGTGCCACAGTCTCTATTTTCGATGTTGCCGTCATTCGTACATGGGCGTCTTGCCTTTACCTGAAAAGTGATATGTGGCTTACGGCTGGAGTATTTCGAAGAATACTCAGTAAGTGACCCCACTATAGGGGTCATGTTGATGCAAACACATGCAATCATGCTCTTGGGATCTAGCTCTAGCTCATCTATGAGTGACTTTTAGTCTCGAACAAATTGGATGTGTAGTACTTCTCTACACACGATCCACACGTGCGAGTGTGAATCCCTAGGACTCTCCCCTGGACCCTCTGTTCAAGCTAATCTGTAACAATGTCCAGAAGTCAACGGAACCCCATAGTATCATGAACTATTCAAACTTGACATGATAGTATGGAGAACAATTGAGAGTATAAACTATTTATTGGGCTGTTTTTCTTGAGGCTTCAACTCTACCAGAGAAAGGAGAGAGTTAAAATATAAATATATCTAAGAATAGCTCAACAATCCATCACCATAGGTCTTAAACAAAGATACTCTAAATTTTCATACCTTAATAACTTTGCTTAAGAAATGGCTTTAATGTTGGCTTGGTTGAATGACTTGTATGATGTATGAATGACGAATTTTTCATGATTGTTCGACGTATTTTATGTTATGTTTATGTTACATTATAAGTTGTACTACGATATAATTATGTTATGTTATGTAACTATGTTGTGATATTAATGTTGTATGATGCATGAACCTCCATATTACGCTACATCAACTACGATATCATGTACGTCGTGATATTATGCACTCTCCTTTCCCTCCATAGCTTCTACCAATGTGAGTGTAAGCTAGCCTGATAAGTAGGCTTAAAGGATACATATACGACTCTGCTTGGTGGATCTATGTGTGCATGTGTAGAGAAATATTATACATTCAACTCTGTTCAAACTGAAAAGTGGAGGCCGTTGCATGTGTTTGCATTTTCCAACCGCAACAGTGATTACCTACCGAGTATTTTTTAAATTCTCAAACCAAGTGCTATTTTTTTCAGGTGAAGGTAAGACAACCATGTAGCGTCGCTATACAGGCCATGGAAATGAAGTCATGATAGTTGCATTTTCTATTTAAGTTATAGCCCGTAGGTTAGATATCAAAATTAGTTACTTAACATTAATGTTTAAAATGTTAATGTTGACAAAAATATCGAAGTCTCGATTTTATGGAAATGTCAATGTCAATAGATAATTTTGAAATAAAAAATATATAAAACAAAAATAATAATAAACTAAATTAATAAGAAACGAAACTATTTTACGATTTTAAATATATTAAAATACTTATTATTAACTTGAGAGATAAAAATACATCTGATGATGTAATTAATATGAATTTTAATGGTTAAAAATTCAAGTATTATTAAAAGGTTGTAATTAATAATAATTAGAAAAAAAAAATTAAGTTTCTGAACTAGGTATTATTCATCATCTTTTCAAAATTAAAATTAAAGTTTGATCTATAAGTAAATAAACAAATAAAAGAAAAGGAAAAAGGTATGAATTATCTCTACAATTTGCTTTCTATTGACCCAGACAAAGAGTATTGACACGGACCATTATATTCTTTTTTCATTAATAGGTCGATATCTAATATTGTCAACAAAATCAACTTTTTAATCATATTGTATAAAAATTGACCTTATATTTAATAAAAATATCAACTCATAATATTAGTAATAATCCTCTTCCTCGTTTAAAATAGTAAATTCCTATAGACGGTTTAAATATTCTTATAAATTTTTCAAAAGTGCCCATTGATTATGAGATCCCAATTTAGTTGAAGAAAAAAATGAAGCATTTCTTATAAGACGGTGGAAATCTCTCTAACAGACACGTTTTAAAACTGTGAGAAGGACGGCGATACGTAATAGCCAAAAACAAATAATATCCACTAACGGTGAGCTTGAGGTATTACAAATGGTATTAGAGCCAGACTGAGCGGTGTGCCAACAAAGACACTAAGCCCCCAAGGCGGTGGACTGTGAAATCTCACGTCGGTTGGAGAAGAGAACGAAGCATTCCTTATAAGAATGTAGAAACATCTTCCATACATATTTTAGAACCGTGAGACTGATGGCGATACGTAATGGGCCAAAGCGGATAGTATTTGCTAGAGGTGGGCTTGAGTTGTTACATCCACATCCACATCCATATCCATATTTTCATTAAATTGAGATCTCTACATTTTTCGTCAACATTGTCATTTAAAACTTCAGTGTTAATATTACTCTGGTCATCAAAATTTTAAAGCTAAGGGTTTACTATGATTCCATGCAAGTAACATAGGTGAAACAAGATTTGTGGTTTGAAACATATGCATCCTCAAATTTGTAATAAGACACAAGAAGAGACAAACAACGTTGTTTATTTGAAAAAAAAAACTGCGTACCATTATGTTACACTGCATTATAATGAAACTATAAAAAGATGGGGAGTTCTGAGAAGATTTCCAAACCCATCACAACAGGAAATACGACCAAACTGATTATTTAACACGACACTTGAAATGGAAAATTGAAGAACAAACCATAAAGGGTAATTAAAGGATTTGGTTTCAAGCAGGGCATTGGAAGCCAGACGGAACCTTCTTTCCACAGTAGTTCAAAAGCAAGCTGAGGGAAACTGAGAGGTCAATATTGAGACCCAAGGCTCTAGCCTTCACCGCAGTGCAAAGGCACACAGCAGCTTCCAAGTCAACAAGGCCTTGGATTAGGGTGCAGCATGGGGACTTTGGTGGTGAGCCGATCACTACGTGCACTAGACCGTCCAGTAAGTCGGCACAAACACCAAGCTTGAGGGTGTCCCTAGGGCACTTGGGGAGTGATGGTGGCTGCCTTGACGGGGTGGGCTTGTGGTGCCTGGGTGGCGGCGGTGGGCAAGGGACATAGGTGGAGCTGACCATAGTGAAGAAGAGGAGGTTGAGGAGGAGGAGGAGGGCAGTGGGTGAGGAGAGCTTGGAAGCCATTGGTGGAGAGATATTGAAGAGTTTGTAGGTTTGTGTGATGGCTTGTGAAGAATTATGAGAACGGTTAGGGTTTTTATAGATGGGGTTTGGGAATTTGTTGTATTTAACAACAAAAAAAAAAAAAAAAAAAATCCTTATAAATTGGTGGATATGAAACATCCAATTTTTTCATTTACTTCATTAAGTTTTGAAGAATAAAGTTGGGAGGGATGTGTTTTTAATTATTCTGTCTTTTTTTTAAATTTTATAAAAATGTCAAATGGCGTCAAAAAAAAAAAAAAGGTTTTATAATAAGATATTCAATATTTATTAAAAGAAATTATTGTGGTATGAATGGTTGGAAAAAATTAAGGAACGTCCCACATGAATGATAGTTGATATTTGATAGAGCCCTTCAAGATAAGTAGGTAAAGAACAATAATCTATAGAGTTTTTTTTTTGTCAAAATATAACAAATTCTTGTGATATATATTCGTGTTAGTATATGATATAACTATTCTATCTTTTAAAACACAACAAGACTAAGATTGTTATTATAGGTATGTTGTGATAGTCGTTTAAATTTTAATTACGATGAAAATGATTATAAGATAAGATATGTCATGTTATATGTGATGACCTATAATGTCATGTTATGTATGTATGTGATGTCCTATTATGCCACGATATGTATGATATGAAATGTTATATATGTGATGTTATGTCGTGTGAAACCATATTTTAGATTATATTATACTAATAATGATGTATGGTGAAACCCATGATGAGTACTATGCATACATGTTTCATATGTGTACTATGACATGAGTAAAAGGAAAAAATGAAATAGTCATGGGACCTCATCCATTTATGTATCTTACGTGCATCATGATACTTCTTCGTTATGCTATGTTAGTACTTATGTGTATTTTCGATATTTATGTATTTTCGATATGTTATGTTATGTTTTAAAGGATATGTCTCATTTATGTATGTATGTGTTTGCATTATCTCACCCCAACAATAGAGTTAGTGAGTATTTCTTAAAATACTCAAGCCACGTACTATCTTTATATTTTAGGTAAAGGTAAAGCACCCCTACACATGTGACAGTGATTTTGAAATGGTCATGAAAGCTAAGTTACGATAGTAAAATGCTCGTGTAGGGTTCTCATCTTGGTACTGGAATTCATGTTAATGTTTCTTTTCTCACGTTGATGGTACTTTTTATTTCTTATTTTTAAATTGAATATATAATTTGAATAATTAATCGAAAGTGACAAAAAATAATCCACTAGTATGATTTGATTGATTGAAAACTATTTATTGTCTCACCGACATAATATTTTAATATTTTAGATCGAAATTAGAGAGTTTATAATTAAAATATATATTAAAAAAAAGGATGAACTTAGAAAAATTGGAAGGCATCACTACAAGACAATTTACTTAAAAAAAAAAGTCAAACTAATGGACAAGGCAATAGAGGTGTGTCACACATCCAACAACTTCGTCAACCAATGCATCTTATAATAAAATATAAAAACATAAATTAGTCAATTTAATGACTTTTATTTCTTCCTTTTTTTGACTCTTAATTTAAATTTTGTTCCCCACTTGCAACTATAAAAAGTCAAACCTTTAAGATTTGATCCATTAAAAAACATTATATTTCCTTAATTGTTCGTCTTAATCAATTCTAAAAATAGCCATATTAATTCTAATTTCTCTTTAACTATTCAAATAAGGTAGTTTTGCACGTCAATCACTAAACTTAAATTTCAATCATGCAAATTATAATTAAAAAATCGTGTTTAGGTTAAATTATTTATATTGGTATAAGTTTCATATTATACTTTTCTTTACATGTTAAATAAATTATTGAACAATGAATGTATGTGTCAACTATCAATGAAAATGCTATAACGGTTCATATCCGTTATTTTCGTTAGGGACCATTACAACTAATAAATTAAAGTACGAGAAAAAAAAAACTTAGAAAAATATGTGGATGAAATTGACATACAAGAAATTAATACCCATATATATTATCATTATTATTTTTAAATTCGACCCGTTGGATTGGAGATTCAAATCTTTAACTGAGTTAAGATATGCTCATTTTGATTAATATTTTGGTATTATATTGATTTTATAATTAATTTCATAAAAAAATAAACTTAATTTTTTAATTAAAATAAATTTAAGACTTATTTCATTAATAATTATTTTAAATTAGGTTTTGAAGTGATAATACCCTAGAATTATAGAATTAATAAGACAAAAAAGAAATGCCCCAGAAGTCTTGATCCATTTGTTTCCTTTTTTTGGGCAGCAAAATTAGACTTTTGGATTATGGAATTTGAAGCTCTTCTTTGGTGCTATGCCTTTCCAATCTTCAAATTACAATTATGACGATTGCCATACGCCACTTTTATTTCAAAATAATAATAATAATAACAAAAGTTCAAATTTAGTCAAAGTTATGCATCTTTTAATTCTTGTACTAATTAGATCGCTCGTTGAACTTTTAATTTTATATTTATTAGAATCGAGATGCTTATTAAGAATTTTAAATTTATAAATACTAAATAAGATGTTAGTTAAGGTTGGAAGGGTGATCACAAAAATAATTAAAATGTAGGATGCCTTTAATTTAGTAGTTAACATAGGTATTAATGGATTATTATTCTTTTAGTACTATAATTCATATATAGAATGAAGTTTATCTAGACTTATAATAGTATAGATAGTAATGAATTTGCATTATTTAACGGTGACTCCAAAATTAAAGTCCCTGTAAAATGTAGGAATATTCTGAGAAAGTATTTGTTTAATTTAAAAAGGATAATAAAATTTCATAAAATGACTTACTTATTGAAACATTATTAAGAATCAAAATAGAGAAGTGATGTAGAGAGTGGCAAAGAGAGATTGATTGAGCAGAGGCAACAAAATCCATTATTTTGATTTGATGCATACACCAAACTCAAGAAACAGTGCCAGACCAAAATGGTCATATCATTCCACCTCAGGTTTGTCTATCTATGCTGCTTCTGCTTCTGCTTCTGCTTCTCCACCAAGCTCCACTCTTAGGTTGTCATATGGATACACTTTCGGCGCCTGATTGAAACAAGGATGGGGATGAACTTATTTATTATTATCATCTTCACAACGGTATACCACTTCTTAGTCTTCATTAATATGCAAACATCAAGACGGTAAAACAAACGTATTGAATGGAACCCACCTTAAAGAATACAAAGCCAGGCTCTACAAACAACCACACAAGAATATAAAACCGAACAGGTAGCAGCCCTCTCAAATTTACCTTCCAAAGACTTGGCAATGTAGCTCAATCAAAGGAGTTCAGCATTTGTCATTGCTGGTCACAATGAGGAAATTGCAGTTAGGACGAATATATCTGAAATCGAGATGGAGTATATCGACTCCAAAACCTGATTAGCTACTAGCAGCCTAGCACTCAGGAGGATTGTAGATGCCAGATCCACAGCAGAAGCAAGAACAGACGAGAATCATCTTGGACAAATTGGAGGTTAATTTTTCTTTTGATTCATCTAAAGTTCAGCTGATGACCAAGAACGAGTTAGTGTTGTTGACCAATTGAATTAGAGAGATTAGAGAGATAGTGAAGTGCGTTAGAATCAAGCTTGGTTAGCAAAAGTCATTGGGAATGGCTATAGTTAACCATTTTAATCCATGGGGAGGGCCTTGACCATGAACTTCAGATATGGTGGGTGGAAAATCGCCCTGTGTCAATGCAGTTATGGGACAAGGCTGGTGGCTGAAGTTCACAATTTAGCATTTCCTAGAGGCCAGGTCATTGCTATAGATGTTTCCCTCCATTCAAAAGGTGGTCATAGGGTTAGCTTCACCATGTGGACGGTTGATACAATGGGGGAGATCTACGGTGAGGTTCGCAGGTGAAATAATACAAAAATGAATACAGGAATGAAATTTTCAATAAAATTTCCTCCTTTCTTGTCAGACTCTTACCTTGTGCCTTCATGGTTGGAAAAATGGGAAGAGTTGGTTGGTAGTGGGTTCGATTTTAGCTTCGGTTTTCCCAACCACCGAAGATGTCAATATCAGCTAAAAGTGGTTTTAAGTTTTCAGTATCTTAGTTGGACAACAACCTTCTATTGCAGTTCTTATTTCCACGTCCTTTGTGTACCTTCGTCTCCCTTAATTCCACTGTGTTGCCTCTCTGAAAGGTTAAGGTCCTAGGAAGCCCATATTTTTTAGTGGCAAATCTTACTTGGAAAAGTAAATATCCTGGATCATACTTAGAGGCATTCTTCCTTCTTGTTCTGTACTTCGTATCTTATATAGACAGGCTTCTGAGAACCTTAACCATATCCTGTGTTTTCAATGCTAACTTACTTTGGACCAACATTGTTGAGAAAAAGATTTTCTTGGATGGAGTATTAGAATGGAAAAGCCATTAGATAATAGTTCTATTGATTCTAAGTCATCTCTAGCAATGAATCAACAATCCACAATCCGAGGTGTTTTTCTTACACATTCTTGATAAACCAACGTTTATATATAGATGTAGGAGCATCTGTTTGGGAAGTAAGCAGCCCCTTTGACATCTCTTCATCTGCAAAAAATTCTTGATGTGAAAACACATAGACAAAAGATTGAGCTTTGAATAGGAAAAGGAGTGGATTTGCAAGATCCCAAATGAATTTGTGGGGTTATTTCAGATCTGTTAAATGCGAAATAGAAATTGTTGCTCTAAAGTATGGAGGAAGTTCTCTTGAATCCTCCTTTTCGAGATAAAGGTAGAACCCATTGGCATGCTCTTTTTTTTCTTTTCTTTTCTTTTCTTTTCTTTTTTGTTCTGATTTGTGGAAAATGCCTAGAGAAAATTTGTACAAGTTTCAGAGGTTTTGAGAGATCTCGAGAAGAGGGGTGGAATAATGTAAAGTTTCACGTTCCTCCGGGGGGTTTAGCTCTAGGGAGCTTAACCATTAGGATTCATTCTTTTGGATTGGAGTGCATTCCTCCATAAGTGAGGATGGACCTTCATAAAGGGCTAGTTTTTCAATAACCCCTTTCTTTTGTTTGCATATTCATTATACTCAATCAAATGTTGTTTCTTTATATTAAAAAAAAAAAAAAAAAAGATGTGCTAATGAAGCAGAAGTTCTTCAAGGGGAGGTTAACTTTTATCCTTTTCAACCAGAGTACCAGCTTTTATTAAGATAAATGAAAGTGCAAACAAAACAAAAGGACGTAGGCCAAATGAAATTGAAAAAAAAAATGCAAAAAAGATCTCTAAATATTAATAATCAAAGATAAATGGAAGTTAGAAAGAACGATTTGATTATAAATGCAAAAGGAGTCATTAAAATATGTCAAACAGTAATTCTCTTTCGAAAACTTACTTAAAATCACAGAAAAAATCTTTCTTCTAATCAAGGACATACTTGAACCTCAAAAAAGCAATCTATTTCTTTCCAATCAAAGACCTATTTAAACCCCAAAAAAGATGGCCTCAAGAAGCTTGTTTGGAAGAAATTTTTCCTCGACTCGACTCTATCTCTGACCAAACATATGCTTCTTTAAAAGACAATCGGAAGCCCTCGGATTAATTTTGGGACTTATGCTGAAAGATGAGGAAATTCTAACGGGGCTAACATGAACCACTTGCTGTCTTTTATTCATTTAACTCAATCTGAAGATATGAGGTGTGAGACCCCCAATAGTTAATACTTAAGTTAAAAGGGGTAAAGAGGGAAATAAGTATATTCTGTATCTGTGGGATTGGGGCTTGCAGTGTTATATTTTGTATAGTCAACCTGCGTTATACAGCTGTAAGGAGAGATCACCACCTTCTCGAACTGGTGGATGCCCTTGTGTATTGAACTTTTAGAAAGTGAAGAAGTGTTATAGTAAGGGAAAACCTTGCAGTGGGCTAATTTTCTATCAGATCCTTGCTGCTGGCTTTGGGTCCAATGTTAGGAGATCTCTTCTTGTGATCAAGAGGCGATCTGAAATGATATTTACCCAAACAGAGAAAAATTTTCCTTTGGATGCTTTTTCATCATGTCATAAATACTCTTGAAAAATTGCTACGGGCAGTAACCATATATGGTTCTCTCCCAAATTGGTGCATCCTTTGCAGAAAAGATGAATCACAAAGCCATTTATTTTCCACTTCTTTTGCATCTAGGTTTTGAATTGAGATGTTATCCTCCTTCCACTGGTCCATGGCTCTTCAAAAGGACCCAAAGCTCTTCTTTCTCTTCCTCTCGTGGATCATCCTTTCAAGAAAGCACACCTCATTCAGGCCTTCTTTTGGTCTACTTGGTTGGAGAGAAATCAATGGATTTTTGTGGGAAAAGATTGTAATTATTATAGATTCTTTGATAGTGTCATCTACCTAGCTATATCTTGGAGTAAATTACAAATGCTTTTCCATTCTTACCGATTTTCTTCTCGTTTTTTTAAGTGAAGATGTTTATTGTAACTCTTTTGAGTTGGGGTTGTCTCTTCGTTGTAAATTTCATAAGCCCCAAAAAGGATCTATTTCTTTCCAATCATATTATGATATTAACCAAAAATGACGCTGAGGGAATTGGCCAGGCTAGCCTCAAACATGTCTTTTATTCCCAAAGGGTAGATTCAAGATGATTTTCGCCAACATCCAATGAAGAATACTTCTCTACGTTAAGAATATGAATAAAATAAACACATCATAACCTATCAACTCAAACTTTTGGGTCCAGTCTAGTGATGTTTCAATATGGTATCACAACAAAGATCAGGTATTTAAAGTCTCTAATGTCATTTTTTTCTCCGAATGATATTAATAGTTACTTGCTGGGCTTCATACTAATTTTCAAGCCCACAAGTAAGGAAGAGTCGTAAGAATATGAATAAAATATTTTATATCATAATCTATCAACATAACCTTTTGAATCAGCGGTGATCTACACCCTAGACCATCAAAATACCAAGAGTCTACCAATAGCAACCCCACGTGCTTGAAGCAAAAGGAAAAACTAAGGAAAGAAAATTATACAAAATGTGGGCAAAGAAGAAAAGAAGGGACAATCTCGATAAATCTAATGTGTTAAACGTTAATTCTCTTAAGGCTACTGGCCATGCAAAGAGATTAACAAAAGAATCATAATGAGGATCTTTAAATTAACAAAGGATGAATCCACAAAATTTCTTTTGAACTTCTATGCATGTTTTCAAGCAAACTTCAATGTCAAATGTTTTCTTTGCACAACACAGGAATCCTCCACACTTGTCTCCAATGGTTATAATATAACCTCCTTCCATATAACAATTGGTAAGCCTCCGGATTTAATCTGCACTCCACGACAAAGGTATAACTTGTGCCTACCATGAATCTTCTTTCTATATATATACATATATATCTATACAAATCTTTCACTAAGACTTCTTTTTATATCTTTTAACTTCACCACAAAATCTTCTGCCTCCACACACCCAGCAAAGGCACATAAACTATCTACTAACCCTCCAACATTACATTTTAATAGAGCAATCACAGCATTAGTAGGATTTTGAATGAAATTCTCGTTGATTTTTCTCCTTCATTCTTCAAAGTTTCGAGAAAATCGAACCACTCATCATGAAAACAACATTTGGTAATGATAATCATTTTTTCCCAACTTAATTTGTTGAGATATTGATTTCCAAACCTACAGATAGGCGGCTCCTAGAAGTTTTATTCAGGTGGAAAATGTCCAAAAGGGCCAACATTTTATGGTCTTGTGCGGTTAGAGCACTGTTACAGCACATTTGGCTAGAAAGAAACCAGATGATCATTGAGGAAAAGTCTTCTTCTTTTGAGTTTGTTTTAGAAGTGTACAGCTTATTGCTAATTGGGGGTATAGTCACAGGAAATTCTTTTGTAATTACAACTTCACAACAATCTTTAACAATCGAAAAGCATTCTTTCAACTTGTTCTCGGCGAGGTCTCCCTCACCCCAGGTCCCTACGTTGTTCCACCCTTTATTTCTCCTTTTAATACAATGCTTGTTTCTAGTTAGTCATCTTAAGAGTTATTTCTCTAGCTCAGCCCATGTTTCCAGCTCTAAATCAAAGAAACAAAATGCTATATACAAAGAACAATAAGCACAAAGATTACATGAGAACAAACACTTCACTGTGAGTGATGCACTGAACTGGGCACCGTCAAATTACACAACATGCATGACAATGAACGATAGATTTTCCCCCAACAGTCAATCACATATGCAGGTGAGAGCTCAAACAAATCCAACAGAGAAGTACAGTTCAGTAAACTTACAAATGGAATCCTAGACGCTTTGTCGTTCCACACAGCCAACAATCCCAGAGATGCAAAGAATCCCAATCCCCCACATAACCAACCCAAGGCTTCGTACTGAAAAAGAGAGAAGCATAAGAAGAAAAACGGGATAAAATACAGAATCTTGAAGAGAACCTACACACCTTCCCAACCGTATCTGCAATGCGATCAATACAGGGCTCAGGAAAAGGAGTTCCATTATCCCAAACCAATTCGTCGTTTACAGGAAGCTAAAAAAAGAGGAAAAAATGATTGATCCCGCAAAATCTGAGTCAAAGGATCATTGATTAGCAATAAATTTGGGGGGTCGAAGAGTGAAATGCTTACGGGCTTATCGGGGACGATGTGTTTTCCAACGGGAAGGCCCATGCCGGAGCGAAGGCGAAGAGATGAAGCGATTGAGCGACCAACAACGCCATTTCCGCCAAGGACCTTTGAACCCAAATTGCTCAGTCTGCCTGCCATTTTCGGTGATTTCCCCTCTTCCAAATCCCAGAGCGTCGTCTGTTCTTTCTTTCGAGTTCTTATTCTTCAGAACAACCAGAGCACGACCGTAAGAGGGCTAAAATAGATGCCCTTCGTAAATTAGCCTCAATCTAAGTTTCTTGGATTTTTTTTTTTTTTTTTTTTTTTATCTGAGTTTCTTTTGGATTAGATCATATTTTCGTTAGTATTTTATGTGTATGAATTTGTTGGACTTTATGCCAAGTTTGTCTTCCCCAACTGAAGCGTATCCAAACTTGTTCCGCCACATACCATGTACACGTGCATGTTCAATCATCTGCGATTTAACCGACTTGCTTCTATATTAGGCCAAGTCATTCAGCTTGATCTTGTCACTACGTAGGGTCAAGGTATCTTAATGTAACGTCGCATCTCTACTCTTCATCCTAGCTCCCAATTAACACGTCCATCGTGTCTTGATGTCATCCCAAGTCCCGGGATGTCATTGGTCAACTTAGTTCACTTGGTCATGGTCATCGAGAATGGACCTATGTGTCGTTCATATCATTGGGACATCCCTAACATCCATCATCAGGGTCTATCGAGACATTGGACCCTCCTTTGTCTATGCTAGTTCATTTACGAAATTCACTACAAATAATGGGTGCATAATCGAACCTCTGACACATGGGCGGGTGCACAAAATCGGCGCATCTGTACGTTTGACATTGTCCTTGAAAGAACCATTTAAAAGGAAGTCACTCGAGACACTCATCTGACAAAGCTCGCCCTCACTGTGACGCTCACTTTGGGCACAGGGCCCAAGGTTGGTGGAGAGCTAACATCATGCCTCCCCTTATGGTACACTCTAAGGCAGTTTTTGTCCGGTAGGTATAGACATGATTTTGGGGAATGGTCATAAGGTGTCGGGAAGCTTCCATCTTGTGTCCAATTGACACCAAATTTGGCACGTTTTCATATTTCATATGGATGGACTTGACTCCAGAAGCGTATGTCCAAATTCCCTCCAAAATCCCGACCCTTCATCAAGCCTATCTTTGACACACTTGTTTACGTGGTGCCTCCATCTTGCTTATGCCTCGTCTTAACTTCAATGCACTTCTCTTTGGCATGTTAGATGATACATTGTCCTCCTCGGTCGCGTCATGGATTAGTCTGTCTTGACCCTCACATGGTCGGATTGACGCCACTTGAGGGTCGTCGCTTTGCTGGTTTCGACACTAGGGTCACAACCTACCCTATTTATAGTATGGTTGTGACACAAAACATGTTGATCATATGATTAGGGACTTAGCTACACTTGAATAATTGTATTTGCATGACTTAAGTATCAACAACTGTGTTTGCATGAGTACCATACGAGCATGTTAGGAATTTGTGAAGCATTGTGCCTCCGATCATATTACGTAATAAGTACGAAAAATATCACTTTTATAGGAGCCACTAGGGATTCATCAAATGAACTCTAGTGGTGATTAGGTCTCATGTACACCTATAATTGGATGGACGATAGGTTTGGAGGGCATCTCGTCCATTAGTCTACTGTACCCCACATAAGCTCTTGACTAATGCACTGAATACTAAGTTAGGGATAATGAGTATTCATGATCATCGAGATGAGCTATTTTAAGCCGTCAGAGTATCTAGTAAACGAATCCTGTTCGACCCAGAACCAATTTTACATACAAGCTCGAAGATCATAATAAGCATAAATAGAAAAAATAGAAAAAAAAGTCGAGCAAAATAATATGAGACCAACATCTATACCTAAAAATTCTAAAGCTGCTTCGGGAACAGAAAATACTCACCTGTGAAAAAAAACGTCTTTCATTAATAGCAATACGAGAGGCAAAATAAGTAAGAGTGTACATTAAACCCGAAAACTTGAACTGACTCAACCCCGAGATATAAGAGCATTTTATTTTTACTTTTTAGGCAACATTTAAAACTTTAGAACCTACTGAAAATTGTCAAAAAGAAAGAAGGAAACTGCATTCATCCGAATTGCCCAATGGGGACCGAGGCTGGAGCAATGGCAGAGCGAAACTCCATGGAAGCACTAGCGAAGCTCGAATACCGCCAGACCCTAATCATCAATCGAATTTCGAAGCTCGAGCTCGCTTATCTTCCAAATCTCGACTCGGAACCTTCTCCTATTTCCTCTGAGGGGGCAGATGGCGACACCGTGGCTCGACTCTCCACCATTCTTCGAACCAACGCTGTCAATGACTTCTCCTTCAAGAGGGTTCCCTCTGATTACTACGATTGGTCTCTCGAAGCCCGACGGGACGTTCTTAATGCCGCTTCGGTTGACCATCTCTGCAAGAGCATTGTTCTGGTGCGTTTTGGAATCGGATTCTTTTTTTTTTTGCAATTTCGATATGTGATTTTGTATTGACGATTTCGAGTGCGTATGTTTATTGCTTTTAGGCCTTTTTCATTAGTTACTTTTGGGTTTGAAGGAATGGGTAGAATTGGATTAATGAGAGGAAATGTTTGGATCGAATGATGGCGTTTATTAAAATGCCTCTCTTCCTGAAAAAATTATTTCAGGGTGGAACAGTATGGCCAATGATTTTGCACCATTTGATACTTATTGGATGCGAGAGAACTAAAAAATGTATTTCAAATCTTTATTGAATGGTTTTTAGTGGTAGACATTTTGAACCTGAATTCAACGGTCATTAGAGAGCAGTCAGTGTCTAGTCCCCTTCCTGAGTTATAACACTGTTGGGGAGGGACAAACATTTTCAGCTAGTTGAAAATTGAAATGAATTGAACCAAGCATTTATGTTGTGCTTTATTCAAGTCCTTATGTAATCATACTTCCAATGTAATTAGTACTACTTGAGATTCTAGTTTTCTGTAACGAAAATTACATCGCATTACATTACATTGTGATCATATATGCTCTCGGGAATTCCTATGTTTTATGCTGGGTTGCTTGAGACCATCTCTTTGGTGGCAAACACGGGGCTTTTTGATAGCATCATGGGATCTTTGTGAAAAGCTTTGGTGTTGAAGGAGGATTTGAGATGGAACTGAACTATATTTGTATGATTTTCTCGGAGCTTGTGCATTTTGTAGTTTTTTTTTACTCTTATATATAATTTTTCTTCTGTGCTAATCGGAGAGTGTGTTACATTCTTGAAAGGTTTCTATTCATCCTTATGTTAAATGGATTGATTTGGGAAATTTTCATAAAAGAACCAAATAATTCTTACAATACATAAGTATTTTCAGCTTCCAAATAGTTCTCGGCTTAGGCGTTCAAGGATTTTACTTTTAACAAAGTAAATTCTTCTCATCAACACTTGAAAGGAAGAGAAAGGAGGGAAAGAAAAGGCCTTATTTGTTCCTTTTGCATACATGTTGTTGATATAATTTGACAATTGTTAGATGTATGACTGTCAGTTTAAAGATGATAGAAAAATTTCATTGTTAGCTACTGTATGGCTTATGGCATCAATTTTTAATCGAATTTTGGTTGATAAGAACTCGACATTTATATATATTATATACAATATACCATATCTAGAAGTTCAATTAGGACCTCTCCTTCCTAGGCCATGCTTTTGTAGATGCTAAAACGTAACTGGGATCGCGTGTACTTCTGTTTTGTACTGTCAGGTAAATACTCAAGCCCAATCTCATGTCGTTGATTGCAGTAACCGCAACAATTCAAAATACTATGTTGTTGTTGTTCAGGTATGCCTTCCTTTCTAATTTTCTCTAAACAGTTTGATCTAATGACCTGTATTCTCCTCTTTTAAAACATAACATTTCTTTATGTAGTATTCTGCTAAATTCAATGCTGAAACTGTTAGAAGCTTCTTGTATTCACTCAACGATGGAAAGATACCAAAAAAGAAATTCAACTGTAAGTTTTCTATTATCCCATTGGTGATGCCTTAATGGTTCCAATTGTAGTAATCCAAATTTTAGTTTACTTGATTCATTAATTGTTAATATATTCACATACATGCTTTGATTAAGTTAAGTGAGAAGGAGATCATGACACGATTCAAGCACCGTCACTTTGGGCATGCTTTGATTAATATAGATGAAAGAACAAGAGGGGGCCATAAAAACCAAACCAAACCAACCACGAGAAAAAATTACTGAAAAAAAAAGGAAAATCTCTAAACAAATTATACTTGATATGCCAAGGGGAGGCACTGATGTTTCAGATACTATAGTGGCTTGAAGTTTTCTTATTCATGGTTTCCTATTTGCACAGTGAGACTTGCTCCAGAGGAGATATCTGCAGAGCTAACTGGATATGTGCATAATGCAGTGACATGCATTGGCATGAAAACGGATATTCCGGTAAGATTGTTAATGTTTGACTTGATAAATTGTAGATTTGAAATTATTCTAGCTCGAGCAACCCATATTTAAATCTTTGTTCTGAATTTTTACATATATGCTTTAATTTTTAAAGATCCCATCCCGTAATCGATATGCTCGTTTCTTAATTTGCCCCTAAATTTTTGAAGTGGTACATGTTATTTTGTGCAAATGTGATGGTGGCCAATTTTGTTGTAGGGTTCTTCTTTTCTTCTCTTGTTGGATGCAAGGCTAATTCTTTAGTAAATTCTACTTTACAATCTGTGTTCTATGATTTCATTGTGAAAATCTGTGACTACGTATAAAATCTACCCTTATCTGGAGATTACCATAACTAACTGGGATAAGATAGGAAACCTAAATGGGGATTAGACAAGAAAACGACTATCTATTCACGTTCAGACAACCATTGATATCATCACTAAAGGATGGAAAGTGAGAATGATTCACTAAGAAGAGAGTAAACCCAACTTGGACTAAGTTAAAAAAAAGAACCAATGGCTCGTTCGGATAAATTGTTTCCATTCGGGTATTGGGAATAACTCAAAAAATTGAAATTTCATTATTTCCCTTCTCAGATTTAAGATCGTTCAATTTTCTTCTTGGTATTTTGTATTGAAGAGATTAGTGCTAGAGTGTTCTTTTTGATCATGACTTGGTTTATGAAACACCTTCAAGGACAGAGGTATTATCTCCACCCTGACTAGACTCCAGCTTCCTTATCATTGGGCAATATCAACTCATGGATTTCTCATTTTGAGCCTGATTTTCTAATAGAACTTAATAGCTATGAACAATATAGTTGTAAGCAAGGCAGTTTGTTAAGAATTGTTGAGACTATTCTCATAAATAGAAGGGAGGTAGGCATTATTATAGAGGTTTTCCCTTGAGTGTGCTCAAGAGGGAAGTGTCCAATACCTCAAATTACTTGGGAGTTTTAGGTTGTATCTTTTACCTTATTATCTTTCAGTGTTTCCAAGTCTTATTACGTGATCTTTTAACATTCCTTCAATTACCCCACTCGTGGCATAGGAGGGGCTGAAGCATGGTCTAATTGTTGGAGAAATTATTTGATGGGGTGTCATAATGTGACCGACAATTTTGCGTTGTTGGATGTGGAAGAGAGAAATATAAATGTACTTCACATTTGTATTTGTCCAACGGTAGGATATATGTAAACAAATGAATCTTCTCGTCGTCAAGGAATCTCATTGTCCAATTTTGCTACACCTTAGGCTTGCATTAGAAACTATCTGACTCTACTATCTAGAATTGACAAAGTTGTTCTTGGCATCTGTTGAGTGACCATGTTGTTCTTCAGCCTTCACCTTCCCCGAAATGGAACCTAGGCTGTGTTTTGATATGCAAGAGCAAGCAATGGAGGTTTTAACCGTATTGTTTGAGCTACAGCTTCCGCAAAGGAAGCTGTATGAGACCTTGAAGGAAGATCAATGAACATGAAGGAAGTACAATTTATATTTCTTTATAAGAATTTGAGCTTTCATTTAGATAAAATGAAAGAATACAAAAGGACTTTGAATAAGGTAGCCCAACAAGAGAGGCTAAGCAACTAACTATACAAAAGATCAACCAGGTTGTCCAATATGAGGAATTACAATAAAAAGTGAAAACAAATAAAAAAGAGGTAAAATTTTTCTATCTTGTTGATACCTGGTGACATTATTTGAGGTAAAATGAATCAACTGTTCCTTAATCTTCCGAGAATTTTTCTTCTTCTTGGATATTCACATAGTTTATCAGGATATTCTGAGACTATGTGTTGAATCTGTTCTTCACGGTAAGGAAGCATTAAGAAGAAGCTAAAGGTAAGTGATCATTGAATTGGAACATGCCTTGTTCAAGCTGAGAAATGTGAATAAAATAACTGGAATGCTATATAACTAGAATGCTTGCTGATCAGTAACTTCGGCATGCTTTGTGCGACCGTAGTGGGTGTTCCATTGAACGGGAGAAAAGTTGGTACCATGAAATTGGCCCACATCTCGGGTCAAGTTATGTTTAGGGGGCACTGTAATGATAGTGTAGCTATTAGAAGCATATTATTAGTCACTAGTTATTGGTTGGGGTGTGAGGTAAGTTACTGAGAATTGGATTGCTCTTCAAGAGAAGGTTAAATTTAGAGTACACAAATCTTGGGAATGGTTTCTAGAGATAACAAGTGCCTTAAATGCTTAGTGAACCTTTTTATTTCACTTCGATATTGTCAAGTACATTTCTTTTCTTTGAAATAAGAAACAAATTTCGTCGATGTGATGAAAAGACAACCAAGAACGTAAACAATTTCATATCAGAATTATCATTACTAAAACATCTAAATAAAGCACTTTAAGAATATTAATGACGGAATGCTTGATTTTGCGTTACAAGATGCATCACAATTAGATATGAGCCAATATTGTCTTGATTTCAAGCTCAAGCTCAGGAACTCGATAAATTGTTCCTCGTCAAAACACATAAAATGCCACGAAGGTTGGAGAAACGGTGCTCGGATGGTTGATTATTTCAAATGATCACCTCTTCCAACTTTAATGGCTATAAAAAAAATCATGAAAAAGAAAACTGGCCCAGAATCCCAGTAGATCTTTTCTACTTTCCACTGAACATATATTACATACTTGGTACAAATCTTTCTTATCCAAGTGAACCCTTGCTAACTAACAAGGATATCAAACAAACTCCGAATGAACAGAGATCAGATGATGAAAATATATTATTTAGCCTGGTAATATCGTCCTTAATTACGAGTAAGACGCATGAAGTTAATAAATCAAATATTTCAACATTAGCATATAGGCTCTGATGCTCATTTGGAACTGCCAGAAATGTATTACAATAATAGACATTTTTGCTCATTCTGATCTGTGTGAAATGCGTATTTCCCCATGTTGGATCTTTTTTGATCCTCTTGCTTCTGATTTTGGTCCAGCTTCCAGCTACTGTGCTGGACCAGTGTTTCAAATGTCATGTCTGTCACATTTTATGTGTTGGACAGTAGTTTGTGGTCCACTATAGCTTTTGCCTAGACCAATGATTTCCTGCCAGTCTGCCACCACCGAAAAATGCCTCGATCGGAAATTAGAACTAAAACCTGGTTGTTCGACAGCAAAAGTGTGTGCGCGAACACAAAATGGTTCTGACATGCCTAAGTGTTAAGCAGATAATCTATCAGTGGGTGGGTAGATTGATGAAATTGTCACACCAACTAAAAAGCATGGAAGATCAGCCTACAAATATAAACAGAAAAATGTTCTCTTCTTTCTGAATTCTGATGCATCATGACTATATTTGTATGGTAAATCTCAATCTTGTTCATCATGCTCTAATCGATCAATTACACTCTTGTTTCAGGTGATTTTGGACGAAGCGATTGCGAAACTAAGTCCTGATTATTTTTGGCTGGGCGGTGGGGAAGTCGACCTGAAGTTAGGTATCAGGACATCAGAGTTCATAAACTTTGTTAAACCCTTCATTATCAAGTGTAGCTAGAGAATCAGTTTTCAGCCAGTTCGCCCTGCCCAAGCTCAACGACGACTCAACACAACCGACTAATACCAACAGGATCAAGGTTTTTAGTATCGTTTTATTTAAATTATTTCTGCTTCTGAGGATCAACTGTTTGGATGGAAGCAAGAACATAAAAAAACTAAAAAGTTTCAGTGCTTAGAAATGGGATTCAGCTACTTAGAATGGCGGAAGTTGTTACAATCTAACCATTTAATAGGGCATTAATGATTTTGATTAAAGGACCACTTTCAACTTCAGCAATTCATTATATGATTATGATATGTGAGTAATAAAAGTGAGTAGCAAACATACGCAGAATTTGTTGATCAAAATGGAGCAACTCTGCAATTCATGTACGCAGAATCAAGAACATGGAGTAGTCATATCAAAGAAATTGCCGGTGTCTTTTTGTGAACATTTATGAGGGATGCTACTTTACTTGGCTGCATCAGCGCAAGACTATGGTTTAGTTTGGCTTTGTCAACCATTTGAAAGTGAGTTTTTCTTTGCTTTTTCTTTTTAAATCTTGATTTTGAGATACCGGACTAGGTATCTCTGTACCCGCCTAAACTCATTATTAGCCGATATTGTCATTTTTTGGCTTTTTCTTTCGAGCTTTCCCCCGAAGTTTTTAAAACGCGTTTGCTATGGAAAGGTTTCCATGCCCTTGTAAAGAATGATTTGTTCCCCTTTCCAACCGATATGGGATTTTGGAATCCAGATCTAACCGTTTTTATATTGAATATAAAATAAGGAAGAATTCATCTCTTTACTTGGCTCGCCTCTGTTCTATTGAATATCAAATATGTGAATAATCTGAATAGAAAATAGGTGAATAATCTGAATAGTTTGGAATTGAATTTGTTAATAAGTAATTGTATATATAGTTTTCTTTTTTAAAACGAACTGCAAATTAGGTCGTTTTTAGATTAATTACCTTTTATTTTGTATGATTTTTACCATCTTAAATCTGATTTGAGTTTGGTTTCAGTTCATCGTAATGAGATTTCACCCAAGAATTTATTCATGTCGATTGAATCAGCTATGTGTGATCATGTACATCATTATAAAAATATTTTTGTAAAAGATTAAACAAGAAATAAATATCATTAAATCTAAATGTGTGGAAAATGAGAAAGGTTTAAGAAATAAATATCATTAAATCTAAATGTGTGGAAAATGAGAAATAAAGTGAAAGATGGATAGAAGAACACAAAAATAAAATAAATAGATAAATAATAATAATAATAATAAATTAAATAAATAAATTAAGTAAAACCCAACTACTTCTCTATTAATTAAAAAAAAACAAAAAAACAAAAAAAAAAAAACAGACCAAATGACCAACAACCACATTTTTTCATGTCCTTGTCATGCATCCATTTAAATGTTCCTTTTCTCTATTACAATTCATTTATTTCCATAAACACTAAACCAAGTTAGATATTAAGAAAAAGAATATATTTATACATATATGTACGTGTATATATATACATAGGTTGAGTTGAAAAAATCTTTTGGACTCATTCGAAATTTTGGGTTGGTGACTCGAATAACCTAAATAAAGTTCACAACTTAACCCAACCCTTATCACAAATATACATTTTACTCAAAAGTTCCATTAACGTCAACATTTCTATTTAACCATAACTTATATTTTTAGATATAATAGATTCAAAATGATCTAATCTATTAGGTTTTTAAAATTTTCATTAACTAATTCAAACAAATAAGATTTCTGTCGACATCAACATTTTCTACGATGGTTTTATCGTAATATGTTCACTCAAAACTCAATTTAAATATAGTGTGTTCAGCAACGTGAATATATCTTGATGTATAAATTTTATAATATAAGATAGTTTACAATATTCCACGTGTATAATTTTAAACATAGATATAAACTTAGAATATATAATATCGAACACTACTCAAAAGCATATATTATAACAATCTTATTCATTATAGAGTTTGACTAAGTTACTAAAAAAACATATTTATCCAATTGATCATACAAAAATATCTTTAATGCATGCTTTTGTTTAACACAAAAATCTTGAATATAGTAAACCCTTAGATACAATACATTGATTTTTGGAACATATTTTGAACATCATAGGAAATTTGGAAGAGATCATATTAAATTGTGAGCTAGGGTTTTTGATTGTGAATAGGAGGTTTCCTGTGGGGCTGTGCATAATCCATCACGACCATGTCTTCTCCAACCTCGTTTTCCTCGGAGTTCACCACTTTGTCTATGTCTTTGTCTCTGTCTCTGTCTCTCACTGGACGCTCCATTGCCAACCTTCTAAGCTTCTTCATTCCCTGCTAAATTTCCAAGGTCCATTAATGGCGATCCTTATTTTAATATCTCTTTTCCATGCATTTATCATTCATATGCTTTTGTCTATATTAATGTCTTGTCTTGACCCGAAAATTAAATGTTGTTGTCGATAGAAATGTTGGTAGAAACGATTGGATTTCATGTGTAAACAAAAAAATAATAATAAAATGATAATATGTCGATGAATATCTCGACCAAAAACCATGAAAACGATTCTATTATATAATTTTCACGTTGGAATAATTTGATTCTTTTAAAATCAAACAAGTTCTTGATTAGTTCTTATAGCAGCAAATAGGCAAAAGAGACTTTTATCAGCTCGGGGTTAGTTCGACCCACGAGCCTCCACGAGAAAGACGAATATTATCAGGGTTAAGAGCTAAACAAGTTGATATACCTTCAATATTTCAATCCCAACATTCTCCATGGAAGAAACGTCGTTACTTCTGCTTTCGTCCAAACTTCTCTCGAGTTGATTCGTTCGAAACCCTGGAGAGATCATACACGATTCGAGTCTCGAGCTGTGGCATAATTTAAGAAGACGAGCATCGCATGCATGCAAAAAAGTCGACAAGAATAGGAGAGAGAGGAACAAAGAAGTTGGCATGGGCATGGAAATGGAAAGAGAAATAGAGAAGAAGGGTTTTGTTTTGCTTTGGAATGGAGTTGGAAATTAGGGTTGAATGGAAGTATTTGTAATGGAAGGGAAGGGGAAGGGGAAAAGAGAGCATTAAATGAGGATGGAAAAACGTTTGTTAAAGAGAACATGCAGGTGTTTGGGGTATGAACCTTCAAACCAAACTCTCAAATATATGGTGGGCTCTTCTTTGTCTCCTCAATATCTCTCTTTTTTAAGCAATGGGACTCCTACTACGTACATACTTACCTAACCTATGCATGGAGATTCGAATAATTTCAAGTCTCCTAACGAAAAACTCGATCAAACCAACTCAATTTAGACATTTTAGGTTGAGTTATGAAGTTATTTAAGTTGGGTCGGGATCAAATAAATGAAAATTTTATGAGTTGTGTTGGGTTAGGTCGAGTCGGGCTGGGTTCACTATTCGATGAAAGTTGTTTAAATTGAAAATTCTACCACTCGAATAATTAGGTTGAACCTAAAAATGTCCTAACTCGATCCAACCCAACCCACAAACACCCTCAACCATACTTGTTAAAATTTTGAATTTATCGTTGTAATATTATTTGTAAGACGATTTTTATGTAGTATATTATTTTGAAATGAAGAACAATGTTAAATAACTAATTCATGACCATCGATCAATATAATAAATATGATAAGAAACAAAAAATAATAATTATTGATGAACTTGTTTCAAAGGGTAGAATTAATTATTTTTGTAATTGTATTATTTCAAAGAAAAATAATAATTAAATTGTTGCATTTTTGTCCTTTTTGGAAGATAGTTTGAGAGGAAATAATAATAATAATAATAATAAAATAGTTAATAATAATAATAATAATAATAATAATGGGAGCAAGAGAAAAGAATGGGAGTGAACAGAGAAGCATGGCTTAATAGTTAGTTTGTATCCTTCAATTAGGGACATGAACCACTACAACTCCTTTACAGCCTCCCCCATTGACCCTGTTTGCCACGTGGCACTACCTCCATGTGCCTTCAACCTATTAGGGCTCGCCACGTCAGACTTCATGTTGGTTTTTTGTGGGATCTTAGGGTTCCTTGTTGTCTATGTTTGTCGTGTGGTTTGTTTGGAGAGTCAATTCGGTTTCAACATAGTTGGGTCACCACAACATGGATGCACCAATGAAATTATTTATGTTTTTTTTTTTTTTTAAATAACTATAAGAATATAGTTTTGTCACAAAAACTTTTTTTTTTTTTTTTAATCCGTGAGAAGTAAGAAGCTTATTTATACGCTACAAATAGAGATGTTCGTTTAATCTGTAGGATTGGTTGGGGACCCACCTCGATTAAAGTTGGGATTCCCCGTTTAAAAGTGGAATCAGGGAGGTACTAAAGATAGATTTCTCTCCTGTGTGAGATCAGGTGAGGAAACCTCTGACTAGCAGACGCGTGTTAAAATCGTGAAGTTGACGACGATACATAACAGTCCAAAGTGGACAATATCTACTGATAGTAGTGGGGTTAGGCTGTTACAAATGATATCAGAGCCTGGGTTGTGTGCTAGCGAGGAAGCTGGACTCCATATCTACTTATAGTAGTGGGGTTAGGCGGTTACAAATGATATCAGAGCCAGACACTGGGTTGTGTGCCAACGAGGAAGCTGGACTCCCAAGGAGGTAGATTGTGAGATACCACGTTGGTTGGAGAGGAGAATGAAATATTTCTTATAAGAGTGTGAAAACTTCTCCCTAGTATACTCGTTTTAAAACCTTGAGGGGAAGTCGGAAAGAGAAAACCCAAAGAGAACAATATTTATTAACAGTGGGCTTGAGCTGTTATAACGAGGCTGAAAACGGGATTTTGTATTCTCCATCTCCTTCCCTGCCCGCTTTATTTTAGATATATTTCAAATATAATGTATAAAAGAATATTAACTATCATTCAAAGTTGCTTTCACCTCTCTAAGCCCTCAACAACCAAATTTGTAAGAATCTCACCATTCCATTAGAAACCATGCATTGAGATTTGTCCTTTGAATTATTGAATTCCTTTTTCAATTCAATTCCATAACAACAAAATCATTTCACATTTTCATCCTAAATTCCATGGTAATTTTACGCTACTTACATCTCAATATCTTTCACAGCGTGTGATGAAGCTTCGAAAGGAGAATATTGGTTGCTCAAGCGAGGAGGTAATCACTTAAACCTGAACCAAAGTATTGGTGGTTCTCTCGAGCAAAGGGAGTGAGTACTAGGATATAGCGGTGGGGATCGTCGTTAGCTTCTGCGTTCATGTCTAGGATGCCCTTGTTGTTACCTAAAAAAAGAAAACATTTCAAAAAAGGTTGAATCTTCCAAATACCCAATAACTAAACTTACCGTTGGAGTCGGAAAATGTAATCATATGTAATATAAAACATGATATTAATTCTTTCAGGACCCCAGGCCTCGCCACATGTACATCATATAAAAATCATATCTAAATTTCATATAACATATGTCAAACAAGTCATTCAAATTAAAATGGTTCATATGAAAATTCTCGAACTACTTTTGTTATAAATACATTCAAATTAAATTTTTTTAAAAAAAACTAATAATGAAAATAGTGTTCAATTTGTACCTTGAGCCCATTTATCTTTGGTATGTTTAAATTTACAGGCTTGGGCCTTACCAGACATCCACTGAGACCTTCAGCCCAATAGCCCATAAGTATGATCCAAGCTCATTTGCCAAGGGCTTGCGAGTTCAAATGGACGGAAAAAAAATTAGGTATACCAAGTCGGTGCCTTCAAAACGGAATAATGTCTATAGTTGCAAGCAAAGAAGTTGGGGGTCAGATGAGACATGCGAAGGTCAAATGCCAAATGTGCACAATGCAAGTCCATATGGGTAAACGACGTTGTTGCAAAAGAGGTAGCTGAGTAAAGTGGAGGAGAACTCGAGAAAATGTGTTGAAAGTAAAAAAGTCAAAAAGGGTTAGATGAGACATGCACTAGGCAAGAGCCAAAATGTGCACAACGTAAGTCCACATATGTAGACGACGTTGCTGCAAGAGAGGGAGAGCCCAAGAAAGTGGGTTGCTCAATTCGAAGAAGTTCTCAAAATGCAAGCACACATATATTCCTTGAGCTATCACCTATTGCCTAAGGTGGATGGCTTCACAAGAGTGTCGAGACCAGCATTCAATCGAGAATAGAGCAAAAAGCCAGACATGGGCGCCATAGTGAACGAAACTATAACAGACCAAAAAAGTATCAGTGTAGTGTTTACCACGTGAAGGTGACTAGAGAAGTTGACTGAAGTATAATACAAACACGAGACTATTGAAATGATATACTTGTGGGTAGCTACGAGTGGGAAGATGTATAAAATTAAATATTAAATTTTAGTTTGGTAACTTAATTAGACAGACAATTATTGTGTTTTAAAAGCATAATTTGACCTCCAAGTTTGGTGTGTTGTCTGAAAGTCTCGACATTGATACACTCATGGGATATTTAGGTAACAAGTTTTGTCCCATGCACGACCAAGCATGCATCATCCCTAGCCCTCCTGCAAACCCTAAACTCAAGTTTCCCTATACATTTCACCTCTAAACATAATTAATGAAACATGAATTCATGTTGTCCCAATCATAATCTTTTTCTTATGTTTTATTCATTTATAACAGTTCGTCCGACTCAAGCGAGTGAGTGAAAAGCGTAGCAAGAGAGCGAGTTCAACTCGTGAACGATCAGCAAATGAACGACCGATCCTTTTGCACCAGTACTGTTGCGAGACTGGTACTTGACGGCTCACAAGCAACATATAGACTGACAGCTGCCCTTCACTTACTCGCTCTCTTCTTCAGGTCCTTTCTATTCTCTTATTCCCTTAAACTTATATCGCATTTTAAGTGATTTGATTCATAGTTTGGTGCGTTTTACTTTGTATATTGGCAATGTAAATGTTATCGAATATCTTAACCAAATATGTTATACTCAAATTATGACGTTCAAGTAGAGAAGAAATATGTAATGGTCCAGGCCCACCGCTAGTAGATTTTGTCCTCTTTGGATTTTCTCTTTCAGGTTCCTCTTAAAGGTTTAAAATGCATCTGCTACGGAAAGGTTTTTACACCCTTATAAAGGGTGTTTCGTTCTTCTTCCAATTAATAAAGGATATCATAAAATACATGAATAAACCGAGATCACATTTAAATGAGAATATCCGGAAAATATGGAAATTATGGTTAAAAAAATTAAAAGAATTGATAATTACTATCTATACCAACCAGGTGTATTTTATTTTTCGATGGCTCAATTATAAGAACTCCAAAACTAAACGTATTTGGTTTAAAGCATTTTCATAATACACATAAATGGGATAACTTCTATTATTGGGAGGAAGGAGACAATACAAATTTTAGATTGATAGAAGGTAACATATAAATGGACAAAATTAAGAGGTTGTTGGAAAACATGTTTGGTTAATCATGTTTGATGAGATATTTTTGTCTTTCTTTTCTTGATTATTTTGGTTTGTCTTCATTCCAAAATTACAAATGTATGTTAATTGAGTTAAGAAAATATCCGAAGTGTTGGGGATAAAATAAAACGTTTAAAACCTGATGGCATGACACATGAATAAGTTAATACCACATCTGAACGAGAGCACTATTATCTAAATAGGATGACTAAAAAAAAGTTTAGAAGAATTGAAAGTCATTACCTATACCAACAAGTTACATCTTTCTTCTCAGTGACTCAATCACAGAAACTTCATAATCAAGCGTGTTTTACTTGAAACAATTTTATATCGAGTGACTTTTTAAGGATTTTCCTAAGATGCAATGAATAAGGACAAAACATGCTGGAATGACTCGTATTTGCTTGTAAGGATGGATAGTCTTCACTCTTAAGAAGTGAGAATTGGTAACGTAACCATATCCTATGGGAATGCTCGAGCCACCATTGTATTTAGATTTCAAATCCTAAGAATGGAGACATGTAACCCCACGTATTATCGTCATTGTGTAGCTCAAGTATCCATTAATCTCTCGTGTGCACGTAGACGAAATAATACA